TACTATATAGATATATAGGAATTCAAGTTTTTTTAAAACAGATTGTTTATTACTTTTAATGAAATAATATAAAAAATAATTTCATTAAAAATATTTAAATAAATTTATACAGCAAATGGAACTTTTAATGCACAATTTACTATAAAAAAACTTATATATAAAAATAGTTAGGACTTAGTTGCATCGATCAGTGGGAGGGTGAGAGGAGGTGGGTGGAAAGGGGAAGGAAGTTGACTTGGTTAGTTGGGGAATCGAAAGGAAAACAAAGAGACATGCATGGTCGAAGTATATACTACCAAATAAATATAATAAAATACTGAAATATGGGATGTCTGAATCTAAAACCGAGCGACCAAGTAAAACGGATGTGATAGATTGAATTGAATATCTACATCTTTAATTATGCTGAATGTTGATCTCTATACAAATTAAATGTTTAATTTCATTTTAGAATCAAACGAAATATTTTAATAATACAATAACTAATAAGACTTCAGTAGAACTTAGCTAGAGTGAATACCAAATTACTAGATCTATGTCTAATTAATTAAGGGGTCGCCCGGCTAAAGATCAAATTAACACCGGACCGACAGGCATGGACAATTAAACCAAATTTGATTATAAGAAATGTTTTTAATTGTTGATATTTATTATAATATTTATATAAAAAATAATTATTTTAAATAAATATAATAAATAATAAATAATTAAAATTTTATATTAATATAATATAATATAATATATATTATTCCGTGAGTGAAACAAGTGATTAATTGAAGCACTGTCTTAATCCTCCAACTACTGAGGAATAATTGGTGACGGACATGGTCATGTGTTCGTTCTTCAGTGCTTAATTTGGTCTGTTTAGACGAGACTGAGTCTAATATTAATTTAATTAATTAACCTAAAGACACGCCACAGGTGTGTATGTCAGCATGTGGACGCCTTTATGAATTATGCACAATAATTAAAATTGTGATTTTAAGATTTTAATTGATTTGATATTTATTAATTTATAATTTATAATTTAAAATTAAAATAAAATTTTTTTTTTGAACAAGTTGACAAGAGGTCGGATCAAACCCAAATCCAAAAAAAGGAAAAGTGCATTGTGAGGTGACTAATACCACTTGACCTCGTAGGGCTTGATACAAATTAAAATTAAATTTAATTATTCATGATACTAAACCATTAATCCTTTTAAATACTAAAAAAAAAATTTAAGGTTTTGACCAGGGTTGCGTGGAATGGACCAATGGTCATGACCAATGACGTAGTCAGCTAGAGGGAAATTCAGGGGTTCGTTCGTTCGTTCAACCTCATATATACTGACCATATATTAAGTAAAAACAACGGTATGTATGTATATAAATTTCTTCTTCTACTGCGTACTAATTTCCCTTAATTAGTGGTGCGGAATTCTGCCTATGATGTGATGATCAATGGTCATACCTTCAAAGGGCAGAAAATTCCACAAGGTCCAACTTAAGGATTCTTTCAATGGGGCAAGGTCTTCCTCTAGACTCAACAGAAATGCAGAGACCATGACTCGGTCAATAATACTTTTTTTTCCTTTTTGTACCGTGTAAGACATACACAAATACTTTGAATTGAACCTTTTGATTCTTCTTCCACTTGAAAGAACTCATCATCATCATATCAGCAGCAGATACCCCAGAAAACTAAGCTAGAAACTAAAACCTTTATATTCTTCAAAAAAACCTCTAGTCCAATTATGTCCAAATCCAACAATCCACCCAACCAAAAACCCCCTGAAACCATGGATGATGATACCTTGGCTTTAATCCTTGGCGGATGCAAATCCGCAAAAGACCTTGAATCAAACCTATCCAGTTTGGGGAACCAGCCAGAGCTGCTTTCCGAGTCTATAGATGCCATTATTAAGAGTTTTTCAGCTGCTAAAGGTCGGCTAATAAATGTTCATCATCACATGTTGTCTTCCCAACAACAAGATCCAAGTTTACAGCAGTGGCTAAGATATGGTATGGCGACACAGGCAACGAACGTGGTTCATCAACAGCAAGCTATGATGGGCGTCCAGCAGGACAGTGGAGGAGATCAGATTCAGGCCATTTTGGATGGGTCAGAGTCTGGTAAAGCGTTGGCGGTGTCGACGTCGTCGCAACGTCAACCACGAAGAAGGTAAGAAACTTAGTAATTACTTAATTCCAAAACCATTTTACATGTATACATATTATGTAAAATTAATGGCCGGTCGCGCACGTAATGAAAAGCAATGTAGAAGTTTCTGGGCATTGCCTTGCATATTGCACACTGTTTACCTTATATATTTTAAGTATTTGAAATATCAATGGTTTTTATACATATGATGGTGGTTCAACCCTAGTGTTGTAACAAGTTCTATATATATAGTATTAAAACCAGAAAAAAAATGGTGTTAATTTTAATGTATTTCTATTCCTACCGCTTAAAGCAAATTAAAGAACATTAATTAATTTTGGAAGCGTAATTCTGTTTCTTTAGAAACTGAGTCTTCAATATTCTCCATTAATTCTTTATATGTGTATGCACACTTATATATATTCAGGAAGGATGATGATGATGAAAAGAGGACGATCAGAATACCGGCTCCTCAGGTGGGTAACACCGATCTTCCTCCCGATGATAACTTCACTTGGAGAAAGTATGGACAGAAAGATATACTTGGCTCTCTTCATCCTAGGTAAGTTATTATACCCATCAACTAAATTAATAGTAATATTTTCTTATGCATATGAACATTTCATAGACATTTAATTCAAAAGTGCCGAGCATCAGATTATATCTAGTACCATTTTCAATGCTTTAATCCGTATCGACTTAGTCTAAATTAAGTAACTAATATATATCAAACATCTCACATCCATCAAAAAATGATTATTGTTAAAGTTAAAATTAATTT